AGATTCAGGAAGTCTGGGCTTGATTCCTGGCTCCCAGGTGTCCCATGTGACCTTAGGCAAATCACTTAGGCTTTGGCTAGACTAGGAAAATGCGTGTCTTAGCTAACATCACTTAAACCCCACTGCAGATACTGTTTAAAACTGCAATCCTAGGTTTGCCAATACAGTCCCCAATGACCAGCTAGCCTGGGTCTAAAGTGCATCTGCATAAGAACATATAAGAACGGCCATACTGGGTCAGACCAAAGTTCCATCTAGCCCAGTGTCCTGTTTTCTGACAGTGGCCAATGCCAGGTGCCCTAGGGTGAATGAAGAGAACAGGTAATTATCAAGTGATCCATCCCCTGTCGCCCATTCCTAGCTTCTGGCAAACAGAGGCTAGGGACACCATCCCTGCCCATCCTGGCTGATAACCATTAATTGTTCTGTGCCTGTTCCCTGTCCGTAACATGGGGGTAGTGCTGCTTGCCTACCTTGATGGGGCAGAGGGAGGCTAGATTAGTTAATGAGTATGAGGGGCTGAGCTGGGACTGATGGGGCCACACACAGTCCGGCCTAACTAGAAGGCCTATTGAAAAGTATTTGCCACTCATGTCCAACAAACAACGGACCTGCTGCTTGCAGCTCCCAGTGATGTCAGAACTGGGCCTTGGCTCAGGTAATGGCGCTTTAGGTGTTATTTGTTCCAATCCATTTCCAAGTCAGGAGTCTCCTGTGAGCCATGGTTTTGGAAAATGAGCATGTACCTGGTGGAACAAAGCAAAAGCGCAGCACGCAGCATGGCTGTGCTGGAGAGAGATGGGAAACGGTTCTCTTTGCTCCTGGATAGTCAGAGCCGAATGGGAAGCATTCCAAAGTAAAGGATCACAGGCTGCCAGCTGAAACAGCACGTCGCTGCTTGCAGATAGGGTGAAGCAACACAATCCTCCCATAACTAGACACAGCTGTGGGTGCGGCACTCACTGCCTGGGGCATGGCTGCCATCTCTGACAGTGTCCTAACGGTGCTTCTGGTTCCTGCTCTTGCACTCCCTGTCCTGGGAGGAAGCGCTGCTCTAGTGATGGTGTGACAATCCCTGCTTCCAGAGGGGCTGGCTGATTTCCAGAGTGGTGAGCAGAGACACGAAGCCTATCAGTGCTAGGGCACTGGTTCACGTGCTCTCCAGCTGCTCATTACAATCTGTATGTCCCACAGCCTGTCAGTCGGGGGGACCTTTTGATACCAGGACTAATCTCAGCTTCAGGTTTTCTTTAGGAAATCTGATTGCAATTGCAGGTGCTGATCACTTGGGGAAATCTGTCCCAGGGGTCCCTAGGATGGGGCAGTGCCTTTATCCATAGGTGCCGACTCCATGGGTGCTCTGGGGCTGGAGCACCCACAGGGAAAAATTAGTGGGTGCTCAGCACCCACTGGCAGCCAAGCTCTCCGCCCTGCCCCACCCCCCTGCCTCACCTCCTCCTCCGCCTCCTCCCCTGAGCGCACCATGTCCCTGCTCCTCCCTCCCTCCCTCCCAGCGCTTGCCGCCACCGAACAGCTGTAGCAAGCTCTGGGACGGAGGGGGGAGGAGTGGGAACGTGGCACACTCAGGGGAGGAGGCGGGGCTGGGGATTTGGGGAAGGGGTTGGAATAGGGGCAGGGAGGGGGCGGAGTTGGGGCAGGGACTTTGGAGAAGGGGTTGGAAGGGGCAGGGCAGGGGTGCAGTTGGGGCGGGGCCAGGGGCAGAGGGGGTCGAGCACCCACCGGCACCATTAGAAGTCGGTGCCTACGCGTTCATCTGGCTCTGGGATCCATTGGCTCAAAAAAAAAAAAATCAGAGTGGGCAGAGACCAAGCCTGGGAAACATCAGCCAGATTGGTGAAAGCTGAGAGAGGCTGAAAACAGGAGTAATCACAGGACCAAGTGGGCAGCCTTAACTACAGCAGCAACAACAAATCAGCTGTAGACAGCTAAGGGCATGTAAGCTCTTGGTCAAGTCTGACAGTGTCTCATCAGGTGAAATCCTGGCCCAACTGAAGGTAAAAGGAGTTTTTCCATTACTCATCAGCTTCAAGACTCAAAAGGACTGATGATTTTACACTGACTTCCTGCAAAGCACAAAGCCAGAGGATTTCACACAACAATGCCTGCATCAAGCCCATCTGGTTGAGCTACAGCACATCTTTTAGACAGAGAATCCCATCTTGTCTCACCCACTATGGCTAACAGTTCCAGCTCAGTTGTGTCTACATCCCCCATGCTTGGATGAAATATTGTAAGCCTTGTTCTAACGATTTCTCCAAATACAGTCCCAGTGTGAACCCCTGGATTTTCCCTGTCTGAAGAACCCTCCCATTCACAGGCACATCCTCGTCTTCTCTGCTATTCATGGACTAGAAGCGGAGCCATGCTGAAAGCTGTAAAGCTACCAAGGACTGAATAAAATCCCCTTTAGCATCGTGCTGTCAGGCATAATCTGATTTGCTGGTCAGCGGAAAAGGTTTATTTATATGTTTAGTTTCTCTAGACCAGTGGCTCTCAACCTTTCCAGACTACTGTACCCCTTTCAGGAGTCTGATTTGTCTTGTGTACCCCAAGTTTCACCTCACTAAAAACTACTTGCTTAAAAAATCAGACATAAAAATACAAAAGTGTCACAACACACTGTTACTGACAAATCACTTACTTTCTTATATTTACTCTGTCAGGGTTCCCTCCCCACTCTGAACTCTGGGGTACAGATGTGGGGAACCTCATGAAAGACCCCCTAATTTCTACCAGCTTAGGTTAAAACTTTCCCAAGGCACAAAGCCTTCCTTGTCCTTGGATGGGTACTGCTGCCACCACCAAGTGAGTTAGACAAAGATTCAGGAAAAGGACCACTTGGAGTTCCTGTTTTCCTAAAATATCCCCCCAAACTCCTTCACCCCCTTTCCTGGGGAGGCTTGAGAATAATATCCTAACCAATTGGTTACCAAGTGAGCACAGACTCAACCCCTTGGGTCTATAGGATACTGAAAAATCAATCAGGTTCTTAAAAGAAGAATTTTATTGAAAGAAAAGGTGAAAGAATCACCTCTGTAAAATCAGGATCGAAGATAACTTTACAGGGTAACAAAAGATTCACAAACACAGAGGAGCTCCCTCTAGGCTTAGTTTCAAAGTTACTAAAAACAGGAATAAACCTCCCTCTAGCAAAGGGAAAATTCTCAAGCTAAAAACAAAAGATAATCTAACGCACCTTGCCTTATTTACTTACTCTTTTTGCAATATTGAGACTCATTTTAGGAGGAGTTTTCTGACCTGATGCTTCTCTACTTCCCGAAAGAACACACAAACAAAGAGCACAAACAAAGCCATCCCCCTACCCTGCCCCAGATTTGAAAGTATCTTCTTTCCCCATTGGTCTTTTTAGTCAGGTGCCAACCAGGTTATTTGAGCTTCTTAACCCCTTACAGGTAAGGAGGAATTCTAGGCTACCCTTAGCTATATGGTTATGAATGCTCTATGATTATAAAATAAATTGGAATATAAATATTGTATTTACATTTCAGTGTATAGTGTGTGTGTGTGTGTGTGTATATATATATATAGTGCAGTATAAACAAGTAATTGTATGACATTTTAGTTTGTACTGACTTTGCTAGTGCTTTTTATGTAAAACTAGGCAAATATCTGGATGAGTTGATGTACCCCTGGAAGACTCTGCGTACTCTCAGGGGTACGTGTACCCCAGGTTGAGAACCACTGCTCTAGATGTCCAAGTTGATACACAGTAGCACTCCTGCCATTCGTCTTTCTCCTTAACTAGTGCTCCAGAAAATGAATTATTTGTGGATCAGTTACAAACATACATTGAGATGCCTTTAGGATTTCATCAGACTGATGTATAGGTATTTAGTACAAAGAACTCAAAAGATATGTTAGAGAATGTCAGCATATTTTCTTGGCAATTATACTTGTCATAAAAGTCATTCCTTCAAGACAATAGCAGACCCAGCAAGTCTATCCACTTCCTCCTGGGAGGACTAACCATGCTTCTCAGTCACTATAACCTGAAATGTATGTTATAATCTGAAATCTCACCCTAAAAGAGAAGTCTCATAGAAAAATACTGCACAAAACAAATTCCTACTGGCCTAGGGAGGTTGGGCTAGATAAGATATGGAAAAGCCCCATCAGGTTATTTCTGTGTTCCTTTCTTAAATAGACTGTACCCAAGCCAGCAATCCTGTAGGTGAAAAAGCCCTTGCTAATATCTTGTTTGAATCTCCTCTTTAGAAGTTTAGCTTTATGTCCTTGGGTTTTACTCTCCATCCCGAGCAATAAACAGGTTTTTGCTAAGATCTCTGGGTAATCTCAGCTTCATTTTTTAATGTTAACTTCCAAAGCTTTTTCTTATGCATGTGCTTAGATGGCGATAATACTCAAGTTAATTAAAAGTCTGGACAGCAGTGAGTGATAGTGGAGGAAAGGACCTAGTTATAGTGGTAGATCTAAATTCTTGGTACACTGTGCAGCAGCCATAAAAGTGGCCAATAGGGTGCTGGTTTGTATCAAGAGGAGTGCATTACAGAGGGCCAAAGATGTGTTATCACAAGGTTTTTCAATCATTCCCATGGGACTGGCCTCAAACAGATAGGTCAAACAACATTTTAGTGGGGAGACTGTCTCATGGACATCCCTCCTCTCCTTCCATTCACAATTACAAAAACCACCTCTTCTCCCATTCATAATCCCATGGCATCCCTGGGGCAGCTATGAATAATTGCTTATAGGGGAAGGTAATATTAAGAAAGCATTTAAGGCCATATTTTCAAAAGTGCTCAGCACCCATAATCCATGCCCCATGACTCTTTCTTGACAGAGTCAACCCATCTGCTCCCAACAGGCTTTTACAGTAGAATTAAGTTAACTATTGCCTACACAGACATGTGAAACATTATCTTGCCCCTCTTATTCTCTGCCACAAGTGTAAAACAATCATAAAACCCGTCCTGAAAGAAGAATTTCAGAGCAGGCCATCAATTTCAATTTAATTTAATCACAAGAAGGCTCATAAAAGACATTGCATACTTTCTCCAGGCATAATTGCTTCCACACTGCAGTCCACCAGGATACCAAGTTTGACATATATAGTCAGGAATGTAACTTTTTTCCTTGTTTAATTTTTAAAACCAACATTCAAACACTGAAATGTGAGGGGAGAAATACCTGCTTGTAAAGTCCATTTGTAATCTGGAATAAAAATACTACAGACCCTGCCTTTATTACAAAAATACACAGCTCTGCTGAGATTGACTTCTTAGTCTTTGGAGACAGTATATACCAGGGAAAATCTTCAAAAGTCCCTAAATCCCTAAAAAAGTCACTTAGGAGCCTTTGTTTTACTGAAAGTCAATGGGACTTAGGTGCTTTTGAACATTTAACCACTCCCCTTAAGCAACGATATGATCTTGAGTCTCCTTTTTGCTCTGGGTAATTTATTTTCAAATACTCAGTGAACGGGGACCAAATTTGGTCACAATCTGCAGCACGCCCACTTGCTGGATAGCAAGTCTTTCCCCTTAGAAGAACTCCCAATATACACTGCATCGTTTCACTGTTGATGGTTGTAAAGTAAGGCTACATTTTTGAAGCAAATGGACTAGCTGCACAAAACATTTTTCATATCATATTGAGATAGGACAACTAAACTAGCAAATACCCATTGGGCTTGGGGGGGGGGGAGGCTAGATATGGGCCAGCTTTACATTAGTGACAAATTTCACAATTATTATTCCAGCATGTGGACAAGCTCATCATTTGGTTTGTATTTGTTAGCAGACTTACAGCCTTGGAGGAATGTTGTAAAAGGAGAGGTTACTCACCTTGTGCAGTAACTGGAGTTCTTTGAGATGTGCCCCCCATGGGTGTTCCACTTCAGGTGCACATGCACCCCCACCTGCCTTTGACAGGAGATTTTTGGTAGCAGTGCCTCTTCAGCCATGCACCCTACACATCCTCATGCCCCATATCAAGAATATAGAAGGCTACGTGGGCAACCCCCCCTCAGTTCCTTCTTATCCGCCTGTAGCCAGAAATGGAGCATCGAGCAGGCTTCACTTCACTTCTGTTTCGCCATAGTTTAGTTGGAGGTTTGTTGCTCTTTCCCCATTTGAGTTTTTTTTCCTGGACTTTTCATGTCTGTTTTACATTTTAATAACTCAATTTTTACAGCAGAATGCAGCCAAACCCATTTTTCAGTTTCCCACTTTAAGCTAGTTTATTGAGCCAGAGGCTGTTTCCATGCCTGCTTTATTGTGACTATTCTTGTTGAGGCCTGACCAATAAAGAGGCTGTTCATTCTGAGAACTTTTTTTTAATCCAGTGGTGGTTGAAATGCCTTCTCAAAGCTTTGCTTCACATTCTCCTTACATTGATAGCATGAAATATTGTGTATTTGTATAATAGCTTATTTGTGAAGTGAAAACCAGTTTTACACAATTCATTTTGGTTTGGAATAAATTCATGATTGGTAAGATTGAACTAGTGCCCATTTCCTGCAGATTAGTGGTGCTAAATTGTCTAGTAGCAGCATATGAATATGACATAACTGAGATGTATTTTATGCAAAATGGCTCATGTGAGTTCTCACTGGAAAGGTTATGATTTAGTGAATGCAATTATCCAATTTGTATGCCTGTATCATTTCTGCATCTGAAGTTAGGAATATTGACTATGTTTCTGTATTTCAACTATGCTACTTTGGGTGACACCCACTGCTAACACTTCTGGTACAACATGGAAAAGCCAGACAGCGCGGATGGCCCATCAGCAACAACAATGGACTGTGAAAAGCTTGGCCTTCCTGTGGATGCTCCATACTGCCCCTGACTCATGGATGCTGTGATCCTACAGAGTCAGGTGGTCTTGTGACCTGATACTAAAACATACCTGGGACTTCTTGTAACTTTCCACTGTAAGGGGGTCAAGTTTGGGAAACAAAGGATTCCCGCCTTATGTAAATCCTATTTAAGGGTGGGGAGGAAGGCAAACAGGACTCCTCCTCTCCATGGCCTGTCTGCCCAAGAAGAAAAACTGCAAAAGGGAAGGCAAAGTGGGAGTCCAGACTGAGACAGGGGTCCAGTCTGAAAAGGAATATAACTGGAACTCTGAACCACAGAAACTTTGGAAACTGCCTGCAACAATATCTAGGGTGAGAAATACTATTTGTAACCAATTTCTTTAGTGAAACTAGCTTAGTTTGCGTGTTTGATTTCATTTGTTAGTAATCTGCTTTGTTCTCTTACCCCTTTTACCACTTAAAATCTGCCTTTCATAATTAATATTTGTTTTGTTAATTATTGATCCATTCCTGTAATTTCTAGCTGGGGGGAGGGGCAAGAAGTGTGCACACCTGTCCCCACATTGAGGGAGGGAGCAAATTTCATAATATGTCTTTGGGCCTGCACTCCAAGGGAGGTGGACATCTGAGTGCTGGAGCAAGTCCCTTAAACTCAGTCTTTCCAGAGCTGATCTGCAGCTGGGTATGGCCTGGCCTGTGTGTGTTAGAGGAGGTTTTAAGAGCCAGGCTCAGCAAGGGGGCCCATGCTGGTAGAACTGGTAGACTCAGTGGTACCTCAGCACATCAGGTGGCTTCCCAAGGGGTCCAACCTGTCAGTGGCATAGTCGGGGAGGATAGTGTGCACTGCTTATGGCTCTGAAACACTGGTGGTGATTTTAAGTGAGTTTTAAGTGTGGTGACTAGAGAACAGACAAAGTGGTTATTGGTTTGTTATTTTCTGTTTGCTTATTTCAGGCAAGAGAAGTAGGAACAGAAAAGTATGAAAATGAGTGAAAGTGAATCTACCAAGAAGCTGGAGCTGCAGGTAGAGGAAAATGAAAAAAATATAACAGACAGCTAGAATTGAAGCAGATGGAAATTGATAAGCAGAAAGCAGCTCATGAGAGAGCCATGGAACTGAGACAGCCAGAGGCTGACAAAGAAACAGAAGTCCAGAAGCAAGCCCTGGAATTGAAAGACAAAGAAATTGAGGCCCAGAAGCAAGCCATGGAACTGAGACACAAAGAAATGAAGCATGACCTGGCTGTAATAGAGTGGAGGAGACAGAACCCCACACCAGGGACTCCACCTCTCCAAAAATCCACAAGTGGGAGCAGTTGTATCCACCATAAAATGAATCTGGTGACATTGCTGAATATTTCACCTTTGAGGGACTGTGTATGCTCCAAGCGATTTCTGATGATCAAAACATGACCACTTTAGTGCAAAATTGACTGGGAGAGCTCTGGACATAATCAATAAGATGCTCATGGGTGGTGCTTCCATTATGGTAAATTTAAGGATTTGGTTTTGAAACAGTTTCAGATTACACCTGAAATTTATAGAGTAAAATTTAGAAGCCTTAAGAGAGGGGCTGGATTAAGTACTGTGGTTTATGTGAACCAAATGAGAGATTTACTGGATAAGTGGGTGAGGAGAAAAGGTATTACAAGCTTTGAAGGAACGTGTGATTTGATTGCTCAGGAACAGTTCCTGAATATGTCTAGTGATGATGTAAAACAGTATTTATGGGATAAGAAGGTGGAAACGGTCGATGAACTTGCAATTTTTGCAGATAAATTTAAGCAATCTCAAGCACCTAGTAGGAATAAATCACAGGCAGAGGATTTTAAGTTTGGTGAGAAGCAAAGACCCTGTTTTAATCCTGGGAAGAAGGAGGATGGAGGGAGGCTGGACACTCACCTCCCCAAGTTCACTCATCCAGTCGTCCCAAATCTCTTGTGAAAGCAGTGGAGCCCAGAAGGTGCTATCATTGTAATTCCACAATGCCCTGTGCTGAGTGGGAACTGGCAGCAGGCAAGTCATGGAAATGCTGTGACCCAGAACACAGACACACCTCAGGCAATTGCCACTTATCACACAGGATTTGTAAAGGTTGCCACTGCACAGCCAGGCAGTAAGCACATGAAGGCTGTTAGAGTAAATGGCAAGGAGCTCCCTGTGTGGAGAGATACTGGTGCAGAAATCTCTGTGGTCAGGAGAGAGAGACCTGGTTCAGGAGACAGACATACTGCCAGGACAGATGGCAGAGCTTCTGTTAGTAGGGGTCACAAAATCATAGGGTTGGAAGGGACTTCAGGAGGTCATCTAGTCCAAGCCCCTGCTCAAAGCAAGACCAATCCCCAATTTTGCCCCAGATCCCTAAATGGCCCCCTCAAGGACTGAACTCACAACCCTGGGTTTAGCAGGCCAATGCTCAAACCACTGAGATATCCCTCCCCCCAAATCCTTATGCCTTTGGCTAAAGTGCACATGGAAGCTGGGGATTTGCAAGCTGAGTTAACCAAGGCTGCAGTTTCTCATAACCCAACACAAATTATTTTGGGTAACGACTTTTTCAATGTGGCTCAGGCTGTCCAGGGGTCTGTCAGCAGTGAGGAGAAATCTTGTGCTGGAACCCTGTGGGAAGGAGCAAAGCTACAGAAACTGCTGAGGAAATGAGTCTCTTTAATTCCTCTACTGCCCTGCAAATCAAGTTGCCACAAGGGGTGGGGGTGGGTAGAACCAGCTCCAGTGCAGTGACTGTTCCCTCAGGGGATGGGAGTGTTTTGCCTGATGGTAGGGAGACTGTACAGGTTGCTAGCTGCCAGGAAGTTGCAGTTAAGCAAGAGAAAAATCCTGCTCTAGGATGCATATGGAGATGTGTCCTGGAGGAAGCCTTAGAGGGGGAAGATATGATCCAAGAAACCGCTGCAAGGGGTGAAGATTCCATGGGCTCTGTAACTGGAGGCCAGCCCAATTCCAAGACAGAGGAGGGTACAGGGCTTGCCAATGAAGGGTCTGTCATGGCTGCTAGCTGTGAGCTCACAGCTCAACAGGGGACAGATTGCTCTCCAGGGAGCACAGGGTGTGTGCCTTGGTGGGGGGGGCCCAGAGAAAGAGGTTCAGAAGGAATGTGGGGGGAGTACAGGAGTGTCTCCCCACTCATTGCAGAGAACGGTTTGCCCAGGGGAAATTTGCTGGACCTGCATCTGTAATCACAGGCACCTCATCTGTGGCTCAAGTTTTAAGGGGGAACTGTGTATCTGACCTCTCTGAGGGGAGCAGCCATACAGCTGACCTCGTGGGAACAGCGAGAGGTGATGGAGGGCACCCCAATCCAGGACCCACTTTTTCAAAATATTTTTCTTGCTGTACTTGTGAAAACTAACTGACTCTTTAAGGCGGAGGGGGAGGAGGAGGGAGGGTTCTTCCAAGCATTTTGATGTCTGTGAACATGCTAATGATCCATCTGATGAAGGGGTGGAGACAGCCACTTCCTGGGCAGGTAAACCCCTCCCCACAGCTAAGCATCAGACAGTGAGTGATGGGGGTGAACAACACATGGGTTTAACCCTGGGGAGGAAATGCAACTCCACAGGGAGTGGGCCAGTAACATACAAGGTCTCCTTACACTCTTTCCTTGTCAAAACCCCCAACACATACCCAAAGAAAGAACCTCTACAGAGAGGATGAGAAATACAATAAATGCTGAACAAACTGATCTGTTTAGAGAGAAGGCGTGGTATGATAATCATACTTGGAAGCACCTCTCTGTCATGAATGTGCTGGTAACTTTATGTCTCTTACTACACACACTGTGGGTTAAGACAAAGAATTTGATACTGGTGGTAAATACTTTAAAAATGTGTAAGAAGCATGATTTTTGGAAAAATCTTTGGTACAGACTAGGAGTGGTAACAAGAAAGTCCTATGAGAATACTGCTTCTCAGCTAGTACCTGTGGACAGGCTTAGAGCTTGGCATAGTGGAGAAAACATAACTGATCTAGACTGCTGTGAGGAAGGGGAAACCGAGGCACACCGCCTCATGGCATTGGTGGCTAAATGCCAAGACACCTAGACTTTAAAAAATATTGACATCTGCATTATGTACACAATGCTACACACCAAAATATTTTCTGGCAACCTGGGAACAGAAACCCAGAACTTTCCAAACACACCTATAAATGACATTACAGCAAATCCCTGAAGCTGAGTCTTCCCAGAGCTGATCTGCCGCTGGTGTGGCCCTGCCTGTGTGTGTGTGTTAGAGGAGGTTTTAAGAGCCTGGCTTAGCAGGACACGTTAAAGGGGGCCCATGCTGACAGAACAGGTAGACTCAGTGGTATCTCAGCACATCAGGTGGCTTCCCAAGGGGTCCAACCCGTCACAGTTGTCATGATGAAGAGACAGATGACTGTACATTTAGGGCTAGTCACAGCATGGCGATGTTTTGCTGGAGCTCTCAGTTGAGGCATAAGTCTGATTTCCTCCCTTCAGCTATACACAGTGGTCCCCTGGGTGTCGTTTGCTTATCTGTAAAGTTTTACATTATTGCAAAGAGACCTAGTAGGATGGACTCTAGGGGCTTCTTTCTGAAATCTTTATCACTAATTTCATGCAAAAAGCCAAAAAACAAGCAATGTGTCTCCTGTCCAAATATTGGTAGCAACCAGAAAGATGTACATGTTCTGACAGCTTCACTAAAGCCCTCCCTCCTGCTGTAACTGAGATTACCCTCCCATCCTGATGCCAGCCTTACTCCACCCACTGTAGGGGAAACAGCAATAATGTGAAGTGATGCCAAATCTGTCTGTTGAATGCAGAACTAAAGAGTCTGAATGAGACAGGCCATCTGTTAATGGGAAGTAGAGTGAAAATCACATGATCCCATGAGCTGCACTATGCAGTAGGCTGATACAAACTTCAAACCTGCATTTGGAAGGTCTTTCAAACATGTTTTACAGAAGCCAGTCTTAAAATCAAAACGAACGTTTTCTACAGAGTTCAATGAATAATTGTTTTCATAATTGTCTGTAAGCAACACATATGTCCAAGGGCTTTCCAGCTCCTGTGCTTCTTAAATTTTAGATACCCTTTTTTAAATTTGTTTATTTTTTCCATTTGCCTTTAAGTTCTCCACTAGGGGAGGTGGCTTTTTAGTTCTATAGGACACACTTCCTCTGATGCGGGTCCCTTTGATGACAACGATATGTGGCAGCAGAGGAGGCTTACGTATCACCAGTGTTGTCCCTTCAGGGCTATAGGCTCGCAGCTGTAGTTTGTCTTCCAAGTGAGCTGTTACTGCAACCCAACCTGCGCAGATATTAGAACAGAATCCAGTTAGTTACAACCTCTTTCAAACAAAATGGGAATCGACCATATCAAATGTAAAAAATGGAAAGGGGCACCAATTTAAATAAGTCAAAGGGTTTGATTTTCACACAGATTCAGCATCCCATTTAGATGAAGAATGGAAGATACTGGGTGCCGAGCACTTTTGAACATCTACCCCGAAAGTAGAGAACAACTGTTCATAATGACATACAAGGCAGCAGGCATTTTGGTCGACACTGTGTCACCTTTCCTAGTCAGAAGACCTTTGCAAGTCACATGATGCACCCATTATGAAATTACAACCAAGAACAAGGGTGCACGGCAGAAGTGGATTCCCTGCATGTGGAGGAGGAAATGCAGAATTACCAGCAGAGGACAACTTTATGTCAGCCACTGCCTCAAGGGTGCCAATTCCTTCCAGCGTAATTTCCTGAGGAATAAGCGGTGGGAATTCTTTCATTCGCTCTTCACCCCCCATGGGAACCTAACAATAAAATACAGGAGAAAGGGTTTAAAAGCTAACAAGAAAGACATCTTTAAACTTCTCAAGTTACAGAACAAGTTACAAAGTGAAATGCAGCAACTTAACTCTTTCTATTCTAACTGACTCAAACGCTGGAGAAATTTAAAGAGTATCTGCTCTCGCAAAACACTTCTATTAAAAATAGCTTTTGTACAGTTAAGGGACAGTTTGTTGAAACAAATGTCAAGGTGACACAGATTTCACTTAGATATCAAACGAACGTGCCTCAGAGATGCGACAAAGTAGCTATTACAGTATCAGAGATTGTCCTATTTGGGTAAGTGTCAGGATTCAGTTCCAAGCTAGTTCAATGAAATAGTCGAAGTTACTAATTACTACAAAAGAACAAAAACGTATGTCTATTGGTCAATCTCTGAAACATTTATTTTTGTAAATGGCGCAATAATTCATGAAGTGAATTCAGCAAGAGCAGTGAGTTGCACTGTTGCTTTGCAAGTGAAGATCAATACCAGAAGACAGGTTTCAGAGGAACAGCCGTGTTAGTCTGTATTCGCAAAAAGAAAAGGAGTACTTGTGGCACCTTAGATCCCACCCAGAAGAGACAGCTTAAAACTGCTTCAGATAGTGGAAAATGTACCATGTAGTATGGGGATCCTGAATATTTACTATAGAGAGAGTGTTTCAGTTTTAGTGGTATTGCCAAGGAAACAAGTTAAAAAACATCGAGATACGCATACATATACACAGAGGCCCTGCTTACAGGAAGACAAAAATATGCATTTTAAAAACATGATAGCTAACACATTTTAAAATCCTAGTGTTGAAATGGCAAGGCTATAGTATTAACACATTAGCTGGTTGAGGCAAATCAGGGGGAAGTGGAGAGGGGGGCAACACAGACTTTTAACTTAATCAGCTAATATATGTTAAAGTATACACAGCTTGTCTATGCTAGACTTCTGAATGTTTTACACAGCACATTAACCAATGTGCCAACTCCACATCTTTCTAGATAAAGCCTAAATCATGAGAGTATTGCTTTTTAAAAAAACAAATATTTCTATGCCATGCATCAGAATGTATTTTAGTCTAAAAGCACTTCAAATTACACTATCAAACAAGATATAGAAAATAAAATGTAAATATATTAAAAAACATGTAAGTCTTGCTACAGAAGGGCTATGGAACTAGGTGTCAATTTGAAATCTTTGAAGAACAAAGCTACAAGTAATGTCTCAGTAATCTAGTACATCCCCAGGACAATTCCATACAATGTTTTTTTCTGATCTCTCCCCTATCTAGGTTCAGAAGTCCCAAATGATGGGATTTACATCACTTCCAGGTACAGTATTTCTATTTCTTAATTCCACCTTGTTGCTCCTATTTGTAGTCCCTGACCCCTCTGCCTTTTATATTTCTCTCCCTTTGTGTTTTGACAATTTATATCTTTCCATAGCAGACATTCAGTTTTTGTTGCTTGTCTCTGAACTCCTGCCTGAGTAGCTCCAATTTGTCCATGTTTTTCTGGCATCAGTGCACCTAGCTCAGAACACAGTATTCCAGATGTTGTCTCATCAGTGCTGCAGAAAGAGCGGCTTTCTCCCTGAGCCAGAATATGACGCCTTGGCAAGTATAAGCCTAAACCTCACCAGCCATTTTTTAACTTTAATGAAGACTGCTCAGTAGTAATTTGTGTGCTTCTGAAAAAAAAAAAAAAAAGTTATATCCCTACCTCCAAGACTGTCTGTCTAATGTACGAATATGGTCCCTTGTACACAAGCAGAGCAGGGAATGTGACCCAGGTCTCCCAGAGCTCCAGACTAAAGTCCTAAGCTCTGCCCATGCCATGTTCCTCTGTCCATGCACAGAGGGAGTTCTCTTGATGAATTAGTTTAATTCTAAACAGGACAAATGTGTGTTGTGACTAGCATTAAGATTTTCATTCTTGTATCTGTTTCCCACAGTCAGGGGAGGAATAATGCATATACTCTTTTATTTGGTTTTCCCAGAAAGGGGAAGAATCACTGACAAGACAATGCATAGAGTTCTAGCATGGACTTAACAAAGCCTCTGTCGAGTCAAGCATAGGGAAACCAGTAACAGATGCCTGCTGAGCTACAAAAGAGATCACATGACCTTACTCCTTACACATACCAGAACACGGTATAGAAGGTGTCAAGCTGTCCTCTTACCTTCAGTAATGTTTTTCCAGCATGCTTCTGATAGATGCCATCTGCTTTCTCCAGGGTAGTAACATGGACTGGCAACAGGTTAGAAGCCACAACAGAAAACCAGGAGGATTTTGCTCCCTAAAATTAATGAGAGGTGATTGTTATCTGAATGGCTTGGATAAGGTTTCTAACCATCAGAGGAGTGAAGTTCTGGAACAGCCTTCCAAGGGAAGCAGTGGGGGCAAAAGACATATCTGGCTTCAAGACTAAGCTTGATAAGTTTATGGAGGAGATGATATGATCGGATAGCCTAATTTTGGCAATTAACTGATCTTCGACTATTTGTGGTAGATAAGCCCAATGGCCTGTGATGGGATATTAGATGGGGTGGGATCTGAGTTACTACAGAGAATTCTTTCCTGGGTGTCTCGCTGGTGAGTCTTGACCACATGCTCATGGTTTAGTTGATCGCCATATTTGGGGTCGGGAAGGAATTTTCCTCCAGGGCAGACTGGCAGAGGCCCTGTGGGTTTTTCGCCTTTCTCTGCAGAGTGGGGCATGGGTCAGTTGCTGGAGGATTCTCTGCACCTTGAAGTCTTTAAACCACGATTTGAGGACTTCAATAGCTCAGACATAAGTTAGGGGTTTGTTACAGGAGTTGGTGGGTGAGATTCCCTGGCCTGTGTTGTGCAGGAGGTCAGACTAGACGATCATAATGGTCCCTTCTCACCTTAAAGTCTATGATTCTAACTATGTGTTCAGATAAATGGAAGTGCTATTAACTAACATATGGCTACATGGGGGACACACTGTGGATATGGATAACTAGGATTTTCAGAGAAAAGGAATTTGGATAATTGGAATGGCACTTAAATAAACAAACAAACAAACAAAAACAAAACAATCCTCCACTCAGGTCATGCAAATAAAATGATAGTCAAATGTTACAGAATGTGTATCTTTACACTAGCTTAGTTCACAATACTGAAAGTACTGCCAATGTGAACAAAACTGGCAGGCTAATTTCTGGATGGTGTGACAGACTTCTCCTGCCCAGCTGATCCTCTCAGACCATTTCCCAGACCCCTCTTGTTTACCAGACTCTGCTTTGGGGTACCTAGAATTCTACAAAGACTAAATAAGATGCAATTTCTTCCCTGCTTCCCTGTGACCATTGTATATGAAACGAATCTGACTACAGGTGTAAGAACCAGATTTAAATATAAATATATATATACACACACACACACACTTCTAAATAATAATACCTCCATATCAAATTTAAGCATGAAAATTACCAAAATGAATTGTACATCCAAACTGCAGTGGAAAAAGAGGATTACATCAAATCCAAACCAAGGAATCTAGTCTCCTGCTGATACATGCATACAACTCTCCCCACAAGCCCAGCGCTACACTACACACTTTTGCCAGCACAGATATGTTGATCAAGGGTGTAAAGATTTGTGATTGACATAGCTGTGCTGGCAAAAGCCCCTAGCGCAGATGCACTTATACCAGCAAAACTGTGCCTTTACCAACATAGTTTATTTCACTCGGGGTGAGGATGGTGGGTCCTAGAATAGGCTATATCAGCAAAAAATCAGTTTTGCCTGTATATACCACACCCACACAAGGAGCGCTTTGCTTGGATAGTATACTGGTATAGTTATACAGGCAAAGCGCTCTAGTGTAGACCTTGCCTAAGGCTGTTGAGGAGGGGTTGGCTGAGGTGGATCTATTTATGGGCAGTCCTTGGTGGGTTTTTTTATTCTTTATTTATGTGATAGGTATGCAGAGCACTGGATGGGCATTGACAGCTGCATTTTAGAAATGGAATAAATAAAACTTTCATTAATAATGCAAGTGTAGAAAGGGGAGAATGGACCCCAGACACATACACCCATCTGCTCTGCCCTTTACTATTAGATATTTCTTTAAACCTGGAGGAAACACTAATCAAATTTATTTCTACAATAACTTTTGAAAAAGCTCACTCCTTGCCCTGTTCTAATAGCCTTTCTTTTCAAAATGAAGCAAAGCATCACTAAGGGAAATTAGCACAAGTATTTAACATGACTGAACCACCATCTAACAGAAATAACTTTAAGGGAAATCATCCCAGTAACAATCACACGTCTATATGAAGGAGGTTTTACCTAGAACTGCTGTGAGTGAAAAGGATTAGCAAAGGACAGTATTTTTCCAGTTTATTTTTTCTACTTTGTTCATTGAATAGTGTTTGGTGTCATCATCTTTCCCTTCTCTCTTGATTAAACAATTCTTATAAATGTCGAAGGAAAAGCAGAAATGCCCTTAATCAATTTCCCTACCTATGTAGCTCTTTCATGTAACCACTGGACAGTGTCCCTTTAAAGTTGATTCATTTTGGCTACATGCTAGCACTGTTAGCCACCTTGCAAAGATTTGTACCCTTGTTCTTTTAGTGACACGTCAGTCCCAAAGCAATTCTCCGATTTCATTTAGAACAAAGCTCAGGACCTCTTTGGAGCATGCTGCAAGGTGCTCCTCTACGGTACAGAAATCTTCACTTTGGGCTATCATATGGCACAGCCTTTTTCTAAAGCATTTTTTACTTTACACAACAAGGTTTGTGTTTCATTAGTGGAAATCTTAAGTGCAGCAGCTACCAAAGAAATGGTGAAGAAAGCTATACAAACAGCCTGCTGGTGAAGGTGTTTTGTAACTTGTTATAACACTACAAAGCACAAACAAGATCTTATTCACAGAACATTACAAAATCCACTCTCCCTTACCTGCAGATAGTCTATGCGTCCCAAAGCACCTAGAAACAAAACCATTCCAGGCTTAAGTACAAAGGTCCGTGGAACAATGGCATGTGTTGGCAAGACAAGCTTTACTTCTTTCTCTGTTAGAAGATTTAAAACCTGAAAAGCAAATTGTATGACCATAACTCATTTTGGATGCCTTTACAAAAATGATGAAACCAATGCTCTTGCTTTATGGGGAAAAAGAAAGATGACCAAATATACTTGAATGGAGAACATCTGTCTCAAATGATCTCATACAGAAATTACAGACAAGTAGGACTGCATATTCAGTTCAGCCACGGCAAGAAAGTGCTCATCTTTTTTAACAATTCACACATAGTGACTTAAAGTGGCTTGTAACATGGACACTCCAAACTAACAATATGAGTCTAAGGCTTTACAGTCTAAAGAGCTCAAGCCAATTTGTCCTCTGCAATGTTCACAGAATCAGCTTACTGCTACTTTGTGTTACATCGAAGATTGCGGATGGTTCTTGCTATGCTTCCACACAAATACTATTTATTTGTGGAACAACCTGAAATGAGATTGAGATCCCCAGAGTAAAAACACATTGCATTGTGCGGAACTCTCACTGTCTCCACTCAGGAATTACTCTTTATCACTTTTATTATGAAGCCACTAATAATAATCAGCCAATTGTTTCCTGCTCTACCACAGCAGATTTTGTTAAGCTTAATGTGCCAGCAGTTCAAGGTACGTTAAACAGAATTTTGGATCAATATTTCTTACAGTTAGCGTTATGGCGATTCTGGGTTCAAGGAGGCTATTTCAGGTATTAGCAAGCTTTCTGCTATAAAACTGTAAATCGTTTTAAACTGACTAAGGTTTCAGAGATCTCTTGTCCCCATCTCTACCAGCGAAAAATACTTTGAGAATAAATTCTCTGGAAATGTAACTGAGAGATTAGCTCCTCGGCATAGGTTTGCGTGCAATAGAGTTCCAACTTAAAAAGCAGGAACTACTGTGTCTGATGGGCCAGGCACAGCGAGAGACTCCAGCTTAAAAAACAAACCTCTGCCTGAAATGTTTTTCCCACTATTGTTATAAATAATGCTTATGGTGACTATAACTGAAAGGTACTTTCCGGCATACTTTGTACATTTAATGAGACTATGTGTGCAGTCAGTTTCACCTCCCCACCAACCCCGCACAGTCAGCTTCCCCGGTCTGTGTGGGTCTTTCGCACACAGGAACAGTAGAGAGGAAAAAAAAATGTTAAAAAGAGAAAAAAGTGACTGGAAAAGCACAAAATGTGGCAGTGGGATCCAGGCCCAGGTGCAGTACCCAACATTACTTTTAACTTTAAAGCACTGACTAGATTCCATATTGACAGCATCCCTTTCTCACACACTTGGAATTTTCAGCACAAACAGAACCATACTCTTATAACCATGCACCTAATCATGCCACAGCCTCGCTAACATTCAAGTGTGTACCACAGTGTGGCAACATGGTTAGGTCTTGACTCTACATTAAAAGACAGAACCGTTTTGTCAGCAACTACTATGTTGTGACTGGGTCTCTACACACTCTTTCTGTAGTGTAGATGGAGCCAACTTTAGTCTGAAAATCTTGGCAACTTTTGCAACAGTTCTGAAATAGTAGGAGCCTTCTAGACTGCAAGCTCCGCAGATAATATTCCAGAGTATTAGATAATACCTAGTGCTAAATTTGACAGTTATCGAAAACCCTTTGTTTCTGTTTCTAGAAGTTTAGGTGTTTTCTCTTGCTCCCTTATAAAACTGAACATCTTTAATAATTCATAGAGTGAACTAGCCTACTGGCAAATCTATCTACATCAGCTAACCCTCACAAAAATGTACAGAAAGCAAAGACTGAAAATTCCTGCTCCCCACCCCAAAATTGGTGCCCAGACAACCCTCCTCCTCTCCAGCCAAAAAGAACAGCGTGACAAGAGGAAATTCTATCCGAACTTTGGCATGTCTCATACTTCCCCACGTCACAGGCACTCCAAGCTTAATCAAAATTAGAAATATCTATAGGAAGTTACTGAACACAAGTCCATTCACTTTCTATGCTCATTCAATTCCTGACAGCCAGGGGCCACTGTGGTGCTGGAACTGAGAGCTGGGAGATTCTTCTGTGCTCCCAATGCTCCTGCTGCTGGCACCCTGGCAGTAATGAGGAGGCCCAGTCAGCATGACTGGATGCAGAGAGGCGAGGAGCTAGGTCAGAGACAGAAGAGTCTATAACCACTAAAGCACACTTCTCTTGGAACTTGGCATATAATAATCTAGGATTTCTGAGTCTCCATGTTCCTCTGCTGTCAGCAAATAGTTGCGAGTCCTACTGGAAAAACATGTCTCATCCCCTGCTCTTGTAAATGGTGCACATAGCAGTAGTAGGGTGTCATCATCTATCAATTACTTCATTAGCTCAAGTCACAGACGTCTATGCTGTAGCACTAAAGGTCTGAACCCTGCTGATGAACTACATGGGAGCCAATAGGGTTCCACATGATAGACATTCCCGCCCCCCACCCCCCCAGTTTGATATTAAAAACCTAGGAAATTACACACAAGAACTATATTAAAAGAATGTTAAGGTTGCTAAGTCAAGTACTCAAAAATTAAGAAATGTCAGAATTTAGATTGCTCATGTAGCCTTAATTTGACTCCCCTGTACCTATGCACTGTGATGCAATATTTAATCACATGATCACATACTAGTTTTTCCACAGGACCCCTGACTCATTTAGTGCACAGGATCATCCTGGTGGTTAGGGATGATCACAGCTGTGTAGTGAAGGAAGCTGTTGTCTGTAGGACCCCTGCCTCATATGTTGCAGAAGTTGGAAGGTGCATGAGGCAATGGACTACAGAAAGAGTAAGGATGGTGTCATAGCTTCGACAGCTGAACAGCACCCTGGAGAACGGATTTTCTCCCCGTCTTGGGCACACAGGTCCTATGAGATACTGGGCAAGTCATTTAATCCAAACTTTTCACAGGGGGTCACTAAACCTGTAGGTTCATGTTCTGGGTGCCCAATGTGAGACTACTGGTGTCTGATTTCCAGCCGTGCTGAATGGTCACATCTGCAACTGTTCTCCCAACATATAAAGTGCTACAAAATACTAAGGGCATGGCTACCCTGGAAACTTCAAAGCACTCCTGTGGCAATGCCTTGAAGTGCGGGTGTGGTCACGCGCCTGAGCGCTGGGAGAGAGCTCTCCCAGCGCTCCTGGTAATCCACCTCCACGAGGGGATTAGCTCCGAGTGCTGGGAGCGTGTCTCCCAGCACTCCGAGCCTGTTTACACTAGTGCTTTAAAGTGCTCTGACTTGCTGTGCTCAGGGGGGTGATTTTTCACCCCCCTGAGCCAGCAAGTTAGAGCGCTATAAAATGTAAGTGTAGCCAAGCCCTAAGTTCTCTGAAAAGTCAGGTCCTAGATATCTCAAAGTGAGGATCCCACTTAGTGTGTATTTTTCATGTTAATGTCTCTGTCTCTCAGTTCTCCCTTCTGTAAAATTAGAATAATGCCCCCCCATCATGTCACAGGGGCATTGTGAAGATTAATTTATGTTTGTTGAAGTAGTCAGATACTATAGGAGCAAGACGAAAAGGCCCATGACATAATTAATAATCCTGTCTTCAGAGCAGGATTGGTATAGTGTGCCTGGGGCCACAAGTTATTCATCAAAGGTAAAATGAAAATTGAAAAGCTGCTCATTCATTGAGCACCATCCAATTTACATGCTGAATAAGGCGGGGTCCTGTGGACAGAAGTGTGATCATGTAATTAAAAAACAGTTTATAATGCATACGCACCAGGGGACTGGATTAAGTTTACATGGGCAATCTTAAATCTAGCATTTCCAAACTTTTGAATGGTTGACTTTGCAACCCTAACACTCTTTCAATGTAGTATTTTGTGTGCCATTATTAACTAACTTCCTGAGGCCTGAATCATGATCGAGTCCCCATTGTGCTAGGTGCAGTACAATTAATCATTTGTGTCTATAAAACTTACTCATATCAAACATCGTTTCAAGTGAATCCAAACCACACACATTAGCTAGGTGCTTCTACTCAATTAAAAGATATTAAGGCCAGAAGGAAGCATTGTAACCATCTATTCTGAGCTCCTATATAAAATTCCAGCATCAAGCCCATAATTTGTGATTGAGCTAGATGTATATACTAAACTGACCAGCAGTGAAATTGATGTTAACAGTAAATCTGCAGTAGGTGTCAGAATATTTACCCTGTTGAGATGGCTGAGGCAGGAGATGCCTATCTATTACAGTCCTGGAGCCTGACTGAAGCTGAGAGTAATAATAAGGTGTGAGCTCCTTTATACATCTCAACAGGGCAATCATTTTGAAGTCTGACTGAGGATGCTACTGAGATGAATGGGGCAGTTCACACCTCTCAAGTTTTTTGGATCAGCCAGTCTAACATTATTTGAAAGTCTATCGTCACAATTAGGCCGTGTCTCTACACAGAAGTTGAAACACTTTAATTATAGTGGTACAGTTAAAGCAGTACCAGCTGCCTAGTGTGGCTGTAGTTATCTTGGTATAAAGGTGCTTAGTCCAGTAACACTCATTCCCCTATATGTTGGGGAGTAAGCTATAACAGTATAAGACTCCTTTCTATTGATATAGCTGTGTCTACACCAGGGTTTGTACTGGTTTAACTACTTTGGTAAAAAAATAATAATTATTATCCCTCTAACCAAAAGAATTCTACTGGTACAAAATATGCGGGTAGAAAGTCAAACTACTACTACTAATTTTTTTTTAAAAAAAAGGTTAACTTCAATTCTGTAGAAAACAGTTATATCCATTGTGACAAAGTTCCTCCTCTGCCTTGGTGGGTCCTGCACTTATTGGCGGATTTGCTCACCTCAGAGATTCACGGCAGCCCTCAGTTTGGCCACTTTTTGCTAGTAGCTCAAACTTGCCGTTCATTCGGTTAACCTCATCACTGGCCAGCATGGGGAAAAGGAAGGAGAACAATCCTCGCCGTCTCTGCTGGTCCACCCAGTGAGTCGGGGGACAGGCCAGGGACCTTCCCCTCTGGTGGGACCCACAGTCCAGGTCAACTCCTCCTGTATCCAATAGGGAGTTGGGGAGATGGGGGGAACCCGGGCCCGCCCTCTACTCCGGGTTCCAGCCAGAGGCCTGTGGATCACAGCTGTCTACAGTGTTTCGTGTAACACCTGTGTGACAGCTACAACTCCTTGGGCTACTTCCCCATGGCCTCCTCCCAACACCTTCTCACCACAGGACCTTCTTCCTGATGCCAGATAGCATTTGTACTCCTCAGTCCTCCAGCAGCACGCTCTCTCACTAGTGAGGTCCTTTTTAAACCAGGTGCCCGGATTAGCCTGACTGTCTTAACTGATTCTAGCAGCTTCTTAATTGGCTCCAGGTGTCCTAATTAGCTTGTCTGCCTTAATTGGTTCCAGCAAGTTCCTGATTGTTCTGGAACCGCCCGTTTCCTTATCCATGGAAAGGGGACCTGCTTAACCTGGGGCTAATATATCTGCCTTCCATCACTCTCCTGTAGCCACCTGGCCTGACCCTGTCACACCATAGACAGATCCTAAGTCCATGTAACTGTGCAGGATTTCTACAGAGCATATTTCCAGTGGTTCTATTAATTTTAAGGCCAAAATTTTAAAATCCATCTAGGGAATTTGGACTTCTTATTCCCATGAATTTATCATTCAAACCCTTTAAGCAGCTTTGAAAGTCTCAGTCCTAGGTACTCTTACACTAAAAATCGTATCTGTTTAAACATTAAAATCTATTTAAAAATTGATCTAGTTAAATAAAACCCAATGTAGATTTAAATGGGATTAGCTCTATTTGGTAAACAACCAATGCAAAGCAAACTCATTTAAGCAATGGTTATACATTAGGGGGTTGCACTGGTTTTACTAGATGGATTTTAAATCAATTCAGTTAAACCAATATAATTTTTTTTAGAACAGACAAGTCTCTTGTGATCTGATTCTCACTCAAAACCAGACCTAAAGATATAATCCTATATCCTGCCACCAGATCCTGTTTTTAATACTCCGAGCCATTCATTCCTCCTACAGAAATGTACTACTACAGAGAGACACATTCAGGGCTCATCTACAAAAAACTGGTCTGTAAAAAGTTCACTAACATGCTTATAAATAGCGCTTGGTTCTATCTCCATTGGTAAATACCCATGTTGTAAGGTGGTTATGGCACTACTAGCTACAGCAAACCACCCAGCGTGATAAATTTTGCTATATAAAACAGGCCTTAGTACTAAAAGTGGGCAAATTATTTTGGGGAAATAGAAATTTATCCTAAACAATGCAGTTTTAGAGGCTCTAAAACAATTTGCAAATTCAGATTGAATTTGATGAATAGTTTTGGCTGAAAAAAGAAAAAAAATATCAAAAAAGTTAAAAAAGTTCATTTTGACCATTTCAAAATGAGTGAAAACCCCCTAAAAATGGCTGAATTGAAAAACTAGAAAAAATTTGTTTCAAGTTGACCAAAACACTTCAGTCAATTAGAAACAAATTTATGTAAAGTTTTTTGATTCAATAAAATTTTTTGAATAAAACGAGATTCAAAATGGCTTCTTCCCCCCCAACAAATTTTGGTTCAGCGCCGAACAAAAAAAAAAAAAAAAAAGGTAAAATAAAATCCATTATTCGCTCAGCTCTACTTATTACACAATACTCTTGATACACTGGGTGGCAGTAAATGATTACCTGGATGCTAGAGTCTTATTTCATAAGGATATCAAAAATCTCTTTTTCTGCACTGACAGTTAACTAAGACAGTACTCCCTCTCCCAAATACCTATCTTCTCAAATGCAGACAGACAGAGCACCTACACAATTTTCTTTTACAATCCCCGGCGTGTCAAAAAACCAGCGAGCATCCTTCAGTTCATTGTGTGTAAATTCCACTCTCTCTTTAGGCTTGTCAGATGAAAAGACAGGCTCCTCTTCCATGTTAAAAGAGAGCTCATCAGGATCAAAGTCAATGACAGCTTTTGACTTCTGTTGTTGAAATGTTCTTCCAACTCTTCCTACATTAAAAAAGAAAAGTATTTTTAATAATTTATGTTACTTTACATTTTCTTCAACTGGAAATTTTTCTTCCTTACAACCGAAAAATAAATAAAAAACACATGATAAAGTAATATAAATGTGATTTATGCTTACAAATTTAAATGCTCAAAAGTCAGGATGTTAAAAAGTGACTTATGTTTCTGTATTTTAATTTTCCTTCTTGTCCAACAAAAAACGAGAAATCCAGAGCTATTAGCAGTCCCCCAGATCATGGACCCGCTATAATGTGCTATTATTATTATTGTATTACAGTAACCCTAAGGACCCCAATCATGTTCCCATTGTTCTAGGCATTGCACAAAACACTTTGTAAATTAGACTTTTTTTTATATATATTTAAGACCTTGATCTTTCAAACACTTATACATGTGCTTAACTCTACTTGTGAGAGTATTGACTTGGATGGAACTGCTTGTATAAATGTAAGCATGTGCATCTTTGCAGCATAAGGCCCTTGATTTGTGGCAATTTCAGTCTCCGCAAGGGGAAAATGGCCTGCAAAGCTTACAACTGCACAAAGCGATGAGCACATCCACTCCCAGTCTTTACACAAAGTAAAACTATTTCTCCATGTTTATTCCCCCCCCCCCTACTGTTCCTCACACGTTCTTGTCAACTGCTGGAAATGGCCCACCTTGATTATCACTACAAAAGTTTTTTTTATTTTTTCTCTCTCTCCCCTGCTGGTAATAGCTCACCTTACCTGATCACTCTCATTACAGTTTTCAGAGCTCATTACAGTGTGTATGGTAACACCCATTGTTTCATGTTCTCTGTGTATATAAATCTCCCCACTGTATTTTCGACTGCATGCATCCAATGAAGTGAGCTGTAGCTCACGAAAGCTTATGCTTAAATAAATGTGTTAGTCTCTAAGGTGCCACAAATACTCCTTTTCTTTTTTATAACTGTTAGTTCAGACTCACAATCAAGAAAGCCCACATTATATATAGTATACATCCATTTACACATAACGGTTTCTTTTATGTTTTCTAAGTCTTTGCTCTATACATAGTGTTAATAAGAAGTGTTTTAATTATGGTGTGACACAGGGCCAGAAAGGATTACACAACTAGCAGGCTAACTGACCCAGATTCAACCTTTAGAGATAAATTAGTAGATAATAGTTGTGTTTTTGTGTATGTTTACAAATACATCATTAGTGGTTAACAATGTAACCGAATGGTTCCCATTGCTGTATTCTGTTAATTCAGAGATCAAAAGAAGATATTAACATTTAGATGAACTGTGAATGTAGTAATATTACTATCTTCATTTCTCTTTGAAGTATGTAGTAAACTACCTGTAACTGGGGGGAGATGGACAGCTGCCTTACGTTAATCCATGTAGCTAATTAGTGGTGATGCTTAAGAAATAGGAGGTTACTTCAAAGCTACTATTGTTCACACAAAGACTGCACGCTGTCAAGAGGCTGCCAAAGAACTATAAAAAGAACTATTGGGCCCTGACCCTGTTATCTCAGATTTGCTTAAGCTTGCCAGGGGAAGTTTGAGTCCCAAGACTGAGATCTCCAGTCCCATCTGGATCACCCTGATATTGGACATTGGACTGTAACCTATGGACTAATTCTGAAAGAACTCTTTGCAACTTTAAAGCTCACCATCCCTACAATGAAACTGACCTAAGATTTTTATTCAAGTTTGGGTGTAGAATGATCTTTTAACCAATACCCACTCTCACTTCTTTAATAAATCTTAGTTTAATTAATAAGAATTGGTGGTAAGTGTGTATTTGGGTAAGATCTGAAATATTCACTGACCTGGTGGGTGATGTATCTGATCCTTTGGGATTGGAATAACTTTTTATAAGATGAAGAAGATTTTCAGTAATCTTCATAATATTTGAACTGGCTGTCTGGGTGGGAGCTCAAGGCTGGGTTGCTTTAAGGGAGCTGTGTTTTGGCTTCTGGGTAACCAGTTAGGTATCGTAGAAGCTGTTTTGTTGCTGGCTTGGTGAATCTAAGTATTAGAAATAACTACCAGTTTGGGGGATTGTCTGCCCCCTTCTGTGCAGTTTGCCCTGATTGAGTGATCTAGCATGGCCCCCCTGGGATCCCAGTCACAGAGGAATATGCCTGAACAAAAACTCCAGATCTGAACATTTCTGAACTTGCTGGAAATCTAAAACCTAACTCAGTAGCTGGGCCTATCTCCAGCTATATTAAAGTGTCTTTGGATGGCATTCTCTTTGAAGGTAATTGTAACCTTTTAGCCCATTTCTACAAGACACACTATCAGTTTGCACACTACCAATGAATAGCCAATACAATTAAGTGTATTAGTCTTTTTTATTTTGGAAAAGGCGAAAGAGCTGCGATGCAATCGTGGAAATCCATTAAATCACCTACACCAGAAGGACAAGGACTGAATTGATGCATTGGTGTGGTGTCCAGAACATATATATATATATATACACCTCTTATCGGGTAGAATGAAAACTGGTGACACAAAAAACATCTGAAGTTATGACTTTTAGAAAGTTAGAGATCCTGCATATTAGATTTTCACATATTCCAAGGACAGAAGGTACCATTGTGATCATCTAGTCTGGCTTCCTTTATAACAGGCCAAAGAACTTCTCCTAAATAATTTCTAGAGCAGATCTTTTAGAAAAACATCCAATCTTGATTTAAAAATTGCCATTGATGGAGAATCCACCATGACCCTTGGTAAATTGTTCCTATGGTTAATTACTTTCATTGTCAAAAAAATGATGCCTGTTTTCCAGTCTGAATTTGTCTAGTTTCAACTTCCAGCCATTGGATAATGTTATATGTTTCTTTGCTAGATTGAAGAGCCTATTATTAAATGTGTGTTCCTCATGTAGGTACTTATAGACTATAATCAAACCGCCCCTTAACTTCCTTTTTGTTAAGACAGCTTTTTGTTAATAAGATCAAGAATAAGGATTTACAGAAGATTATTAATATATATTTGAAGAATTCTTATTCGGATATGCTGTTGCTAGTAACCCAAATTAGAATGTATCATAAATGTATGTTGGCTAGCAACATTTACCAATGAAGAATTCACTTTAGACACTGACTTATCATACAGTAAAGCTTAACTGAGTCTTTTGTATAATGCAGTATTTGCATCTGAGAACAAATGGTGATACTCTCCCTCAGATAATACTCACCTATTAAATAACCTTGCTTTTTAAGGCATTTAAGATACTTTTGTTCATCATCACTAAGTTGTTCTTCAGTTTTTTCTGCATCTGCTTTTAGTCTCTCCTGTCTCCTGAACAGTCTGTCAGATGTAGGGTTAATAATTGGAAATTTCAGGAGGTTTAAAGTTGTGCCTGTAAAACAAATTCCAACATTATCCAGGTCTGTGACTGTGCAAACTGAACACAGTATATATAAAATCAATTAAATGTTAAGGTTCAAACAATGAAAAAAACCACACACAGAAGAAAGTTCGCAGGCTGTATGATGGCCTCATTCTTCTTTATGAAACAGAAAAGCAATCACAACAACAAAACTAAAGTCAACTGCTAAGCTAATGGCTCTTCTCAGAAACTATCCGCCACAGTGGTGGGGGAGAGATAGCTCAGTGGTTTGAGCATTGGCCTGCTAAACCCAGGGTTGTTAGCTCAATCCTTGAGGGGGTCATTTAGGGATCTGGGGCAAAAATTGTTTTCGGTTTTCGGCTGAGTGGTTTAATGCAGGGAACCCCAAGGCTGGGGTCTAAGCTCCCTGCCCCCCAGAAGGACTTGACTGAGGGGTCCTGGTTGTACCCACAAGCTCTGTTTTAGACTGTGTTCCTATTGTCCAATAAACCTTCCGTTTTACTGGCCGGCTGAGAGTCACGGTGAATCCCAGGAAGAGGGGTGCAGGGCCCGGACTCCCCCACACTCCGGACACCTTAGAAATTCATGGTTTTTTTACAGTTTTTTTCCTGGAAGACACCATGGCCTTGTTGAGGCTAGGAAGGAAGATGTTTTTTTTAAAATGTGTTAGCCAAAACACTGGAATGCATTTTACAACCTTAGTATAGACCGTGCAATTGTATAATTTATAATGTGTTAGTCTGCCAAGGTGAAGCTTATGGGGGAATGGAAGGTCAGCCAAATTCTTTTCTAACAAATTCTAACTCCTGTTGAGGGTCTTAGCAGCGAGGCAAAGGCATCAATGAGCATGGAGACTGAACTAACTTCACCCCTTGAGGAGTGTCAATATAAGAGGGTCAAGAGTTGTTACTTCTATGCCTCTAGCATCTCAACAGAAGGCTCCCACCACCACTAAGGTAACCTTCCAGAGGTGCCAAATTCACTGAATAATGACACTGAAAGCTAGGCAGCTCTGCTTCAATGAATATTATTCAGTATTGGACAAGATTGCTAAACATTATTTTTCCCAAAGAGATTTTGAGACACATATCTGGCCAAATTATATGAACTGGAGTTTAAGAGTTATGTATATATTGAGAAACTGAAAATAACACTGACACAGGACTTGCTATATTCAGCCCTAGGCCAGTGCCAAAAAGAGCCCCATTAGACTGAAGGATCGGGAAGAGGTTTAACGACTGATATTTTGCAAACCACCAGGGCTAGCAGTAAGATACATGACGCCAATACTCTGCTCTCTCCAGGTCACTTTGCAGTTTGGTTCTGTCCTGCTGCCTGACTGCTTAACCCTTGTCTAATTTTGATGATGCCTGCAAATTTGATAATGGTCAAACTGAGAGCAGAGAAACCCATGAGCCACCCATGCTGGGTGCAGAGAGGAGCTAATTTTTGGTTTTTCAGTTTGTCAAGAAAGCCTTTAGAAGCGTAAAAGTTCTGCACTGGACTACAACTAACAGATGTGCCACTCCTTGAAGACTGACATAATTCTCACTGTAAGGTAAACAGCTCTGAGCACCACGACAACATACCAATGGAAATCAAGAAAGGTAAATTCGCTAGCCCACTCCAGCTATTTTGCTTCACTCTGGTGAAGCAAACTAGATGCAAAGCTAACTTAACTGGCCAGTTGAACCAGGTCTAATAGCTGCTTTGTGACACCAGAGAGGCACAATTGGTTGTTTTTTATATCAGGGGAATGTAATCAAAGCAGTTTTGTTAAAAAAAAAATAATGGAAATGTGAATGGTTGCAGGCAGGAGAAGGGCATTTAAGGGGGAATAAGAGTGAGGGGCTTGGGGCTGCAGCAAGGGGGGTGGGATAAATGGGGATGGGTGATACAAGAGTTGAGGGGGATTGAGGGAGCTCAGGAGAGGGACAATGGGAAGGGGACATGAGAATGAGTAGCAGAGGCACAGGAAGAATAGGGGCAGAGGTTTGTCCCCTTCCATGTCTGAACACCAGGATGTGAGGGTCTACCCCCTATGATTTAGTTGGGGTTGGTCCTGCTTTGAGCAGGGGGTTGGACTAGATGACCTCCTGAGGTCTCTTCCAACCCTAATCTTCTATGATTCTGTGTGAGTTGGTACCTGGATGTCCTGTATCCACAATGGTGCCTGAGCCCCTCTCCCGTGTGTGTGCACCAGGATCTGGGGGCCCAGCTCATCTATGGTGGTCTGACCCCTCTCCTTGCCTCCCCATATGAACCAGGTTCTAGAGACCTCTTAACTTTCTGGGGGTGTCTAGCCCCTTTCTCTTGCCCTCTGCCCCTTCCATGTGAGCCAGGATCTGTGGAAGCCCCCCTGCCCCTCTGGATGGAGAGCTTTAAAAAGGCATGCTGGGTGCATGCACCAAGAAGACACTGATGAGACAAAGGTGAGGACCTGAGAACTGGCATGCCTAGTGCCAAATGCTGGCTTCATGGGATGGGATGGGAATGGGAGGGGGAGCTGGAAATGTTGAGGGGGGGCATTGTATGTAGCAGGGAATGGTGTGGCAGAGGGCAGAGAAGGAGAGAGACACACGAGTCTTCCCTCACATGCTTAAAATTACTATTACAACCATGTCATAAAACTGTCAAGGTTTTGGGACCTAGAACACGGATGAGATTTCTCTCGCCGGCCCTGTTAGTGGCTACACACTGCAAATGTTTCAAAGCATGACCATTCTTCCCATTCCACTATAACAAAACGTACAGGAGCAGGGAGGAGTACTGAGGAATCACATAGCAACTGAGTGACCTAGTGGAAAGACCACTGGACTGGGACTATTCCTAGCTCTGTCCATAGCTGGCTGGGTGATCTTGGGAAAGTCACTTCACCTCCGTGCCTCAGTTTCCCATCTGTGAAATGGGAATATGGAAAGTTCTTTGAGATCTATTGATGAAACCACGAGATAAAAGCTAAGTCTTTTGATTATTAGTTAGCCACAGTAGCATATCAACTGAAAACCTAAGTGAGAACGACAACTGTCCGAATGATCACTGCCTCTTACCAACAAACATTTCTGTTTAAAAAACTAAGAAATTCACTGGCAAAAAAATTCAGAATTAAGATTATCTGGTGACAGCTTGCATCCCTCCAGAACGCTGAGTTCAGCAAACTCAAACTTCTGATAATCAAGAAATACAGAGTTAAGGTAAAACCCCACACAACCTTAACTCTGCCCAAACACACCAGTAACACAAATACTGGCACTTTGCCTCTCCTCTGTAATGGACAAGTATTATCTGCACTTTCCCTATGCTCAAAGATGAGCCTACTCCCTGGACAGAATATCACACTTGTGAAATTTAACAACTGCTTCATATCCTTTTACAATCCCTTGACACTTGCACACAGGATATTTCCCAGACCTGGACTTTCCCCTACCCATCATTAAATCCACACACAGCTGCTCTCATACACCATCTCACTACTGACAATGCCCATGTCAAGAAGCTTCCACTGCCCTGCTACAACCTACACAATGCTGAACTGAATGGATGCAGACTGGAACCCGCATCTCTTTCTTTTGGGGGTACTCAGCAGCAAATCTCCTCATATCACAATCACAGCTCTTCCAAGCTGTCCCAGCTTATTCATCCCCCATTAAATACAGCTACACCAAATGCTTAGAGTGTATGCAGATGATTCCCAGTGGCTATTGCCAGCTTCACAGGGCTGAGTTAAGGTTGGATTTCTTGGTTTTCAGAAGTTTTGAGTTTTGCTGAACTTGAAGTTCTGGAAAGGCCCAAGCTACCACTGGACAACCTTAACTCGATGTTAACAAAGGTTTGTGCCATTTAATATGCCTGCATCAGAATGCAAATGCACAAGGAGACCATATTAAGGGAAAGCTTAACGCTGACATTTGTTAACTTTGGAGTGCTTGATTTTTCAACCTTAAAAGTTCTTTTACCAACTTTTTTGGGGAATAGTTATTTCTACATAACACCCAGGAGACCACAATCAGAAATAGGCTCCTATATAAAAGCCTAAGAGACACTCCTTGCCCTGAAAAGCATAGTCCAAACAGATACTGATAAAAGTCCCCATCCATGCCCCTCACCTGGCCAGGGCGAGATTGTTGCTCTGTTGATCACCTCCGGCGCTTTGGACTTGCAATAGTCAGACTGCAGCAGAGTATTGAACAGTGTGGATTTGCCGGAATTGGTAGCTCCCACAAGATACACATCGCCATTGCACTTCCAGGAGCGTTGCAGCTTGGAGATCAGCTTCTCCACTCCATAGCCTGTCTTGGCACTGATCAGGTGCACATCCACCAAGTTCTGGCTCCCAGTCCTACCAACCTGGCCCCCAGTGCCCTGGGCTGCAGGGAGGATGCCCACGCGGGCACAGCTCGTCAACAGCTGTTTTCGGAAGCGCTTCAGATAGTCTGGAGAGTCCCCAGGCAACAGGTCCACCTTGTTGCCCACCACCAGGATGCTGGACCCTGCATCCACCAGCTGAGGCAGATCCGGTAGCACCGAGTCGGGCAGGTCTAGCACGTCCACCATGTATAGCACCAGGGGGGGGCGACCGTGGCGTGGGGGGCTGCGCAGGGCAGCGCTCACCAGATTGCGGTATTGCTCCCGGGACACATGCATGTGCAGCGCCTGCTGATGATGGATCAGGAGCCAGCAGCGCTGACACACCACACCTTGCAGGGCCCGGTGCGCCTCCGAACCCCCCAGGGCCCCCTGTGCCCCCAATCCTTCCGAGCTCCCCAAGGCCCCCTGCCCCTCCGAACCCCCCAGGGCCCCCTGTGCCCCCAATCCTTCCGAGCTCCCCAAGGCCCCCTGCCCCTCCGAACCCCCCAGGGCCCCCTGTGCCCCCAATCCTTCCGAGCTCCCCAAGGCCCCCTGCCCCTCCGAACCCCCCAGGGCCCCCTGTGCCCCCAATCCTTCCGAGCTCCCCAAGGCCCCCTGCCCCTCCGAATCCCCCAGGGCCCCCTGTGCCCCCGTCCTGCCCAATCCTTCCGAGCTCCCCAGGGCCCCCGTCCTCTCCGAGCCCCCCGGCACCCCGGGGCCCCCCGGCTGCCCGCCCATCAGGCGGAGGTACTTCTCGCTGGGCAGGTAGCCGGGCACGGCGGGGTCTCGGCAGTGCAGCTCCGCCCCGCAACCCGAGCAGTTCACCCCGCTGGGCGGCACCGACGGGTCCGGCCGCCCCGTCACCCGGTGCTGCCGCTTCTCCCGCGGCCTCCCCGGCGGGCGGCCCGGCGCGGCGGGCGGCTCTCCGGCCGGCGCCGGGCCCGGCTCGGGCACGTACTCGGGGAAGACGAACTGCTCCTCCTCGCCGCCCGGCCCCTGGGCCGCAGGGTCCCGCCAGGGTCGGGTGGAGAGGCCGCCCGGTCTCCCCGGCCGCAGGGCAGCGGGCAGGAGCCGGCCGGGGCCCGGGGGCTGCCGGCCCGGTAAGCCCCGGGCCAGGGCCCCCAGCAGCGCGCGGCTCAGTCGGTGCATGAGAGAAGCGAGGCCGCGGCTCCGCTCCCCCGGCCTCGGCCACGCGGAGAGCCCGGCCTGAGACAGCGCCTCCTGCCGGGCGGGACTGGGCAGCCGGGCGGGGCCTGCCGGACCCAGCGAGGCAGGGAGTCCAGGGGCTGCCCAGCATCGCCTCCCCCCATGTCCAAGGGCAGGGGTAGGGGCAGCCTCAGCCAGACCCCACACGGGGCCAGGCAGTGCCAGTGATGCCAGCGCCTGGCTCGCTGCGTGACCCTGGGCAAGTGGCTTGGCCTCTCTTCTGCTCCCCCAGCTGTAAATTGGGGCCTGCCGCTCTGTGGGGTGCTGAGTGGGCCAGACCCACCTGGAGCAGTGGGAAAGCGCTAGGAGCACCCAGAACAATGCAGTTTACTTCTCATGACAAACTTTTTGGTGGCCTCAGAGTGTGGCCACCAACTCTTGCTGGTGACCGTTGGGACATATTTCCTAAAATACTTAATTAACGTTAGGAAAAACAAATAAATATGCACATGTCCAAATCATTATTTATTTATGTAGGATTATTTTTGCAGACTCAATAATAAAAATAAGGTACAGCTGTTTCTATTCTTTACTGGACCTAACAAAATAGAAACACAAATAAGGTTTTTACACATTCTTGTCTTTTTTCTTGTTGTTTCGTTTGCTTTTTTGGTTGCTTTAAAAAAAAAAGTGATATTAACAAACATGCAAATATTACTTTCACAGCAGGCTTACACTGGGGACAAACTAAGTCCTGGATGTGGAGGTTGGTACGGAGGCAGTAGGGGCCAAGGGTCACTGGGGGCCAGGGTTGATGGGGTGAGCTCGGGGCCAGAGCCTGTCACCGTGTGGCAGGGGAATGGAGCCCAAATCCCTGTGCCTGGAGTCTGCCCCAGTTTTTGCCCCAGATCCCTAAATGCACCCCTCAAGGACTAAACTTACAACTCTGGGTTTAGCAGGACAATGCTCAAACCACTGAGGTAGCCCGTCCTCCCTCCCATGCCTCCTCAGGGCTGAAGCCGGACCTTGCCCCAGGGAAGGTGGGGAATTCACACCTACTACCTGCTCCTCCGGCTTTTGTGTCTCCAGAAGGGGGCAGGGCCCAATCACTGCTGGCAGTCCCTGGGGGAGGGTCCACCGCTTTGCCCCCATCACTGCCCAGGAGGTTGTGGCTGCCCAAAAAGCCCCTGGTGGCTGCATGTAGCCACAATGGCCGCATTTGAGAAATGCTGTAGACAGCAGTGCTTCTGAAACTCCCTTTTTATAACTCAGAGATGCTCAAGCACTTGCATCTGCATTTGAATGTGTGGTGGCCAGTGGAAGCTGGTGTGGGATCAATCATGGTGTTTTAACCCAAGCAATAATAGTGCAAACCTTCTTCCCCCCACCCCAATCATCTTAAAATCATGCTTTCAATCATAAGCACTACACGAGGAGGAGGATTGGCTGAAGTGTGGCTCTAAACCTGCAATAAGCATGGTTGTGCCCATGTGGAGCTCATTGCAAAATGGCTCAGTCAGGGCCTATGTTGGTAATTCACTCAATTGTAACAAAATGCAAACAACTCAGCAAGAGATTGAGTAAGGGTGTTCTTGAATGACTGAAGAGTCTTGGAGCCTCAATCTGCAGTGCCCCGTGCAAAAGGCCCTATGTGTGGGTTACCATATTTCAGGTTCCCAAAGAGAGGACATTGCATGTGTGTGGGGGTACAATTGGGAAACTGGGGGGAGGAGGAGCTGAGTGAGGTACAGCTGGGGTTGCTGGAAGGGGTACCTGCAGTAGGGGTAGTTACTGGAGGTGGGGGCAGTGCCACTTCCTGTCACGGTGGCAGAGGAGCTGGCACAAGCTCAGAACGCAAGGATGTCCATCAGGCAGCCCCTCCCAGGACAGGGATCCAGCAACTGTGGCTGCAGGGGAACAGATCAATTAGCTGTGGATGCAGGGCAGGAACCCACTGGAAGCAGATCAATCAGGGCTCTTTCTGAGGTACAGCATACACTCTGCAAGAATCCAGGACATTGCCTGTTATTTGAAAAATCCACCAGGACAGAAGACGGAGGCTCAAAAAAGAGGCTCTGTCCGGAAAAACAAGATGAGTAGCGCCCAGAAACCGCCGGAGCTAGTACTGCCAGCCTCAAGGATTAAAAAATCCAAAGTCAGATTGATTTTAAAATCATGAGATGTTGCTAGCTCTTGGATTGGGTTTAATTGCCTTCTGCTGGCTGTGCCTCCCAGGGTGATGCTTTCAAGCTTTTCACCACAATCACCGCAGGCCTGGAAACATTTTTTTAAGTACAGTAAAAGCAGGAACTCCCACATGACACTATGACTCCAAGGGCTGGGTCTTTCTGTAACTCACCCACTATTGCAAGCCTTGCAATAAAAAGGTGCAAGCTGGCAGTGCCCATGGCATGATACCCTGACCCTGCAGGGGGACCTACATACAGGCCCCTCTGCAGGGCTAGAGTCTCTGGGGACAGTGTTTTCCCCAGGAACTGAAATGGGGAGGGGGTGTGTGTTCAAATTTACTGGGGGGGGGGGGAGGTCAGGGCTGATGAGGGGTGGGACTGTGAGGGTGAAGGTGGGCTGTATGGCACCATAGTAAAAACTGAAAAATGTTTCATGACCATTTTATTAGATGGATTTTAAAATCATCATCACACAAATTAAAAAGTTGGCTACTCAAGCCTTCTATGAAGCACTACATCTACATCCTTCTTGGTTTCTTGTTATAATTTTGCACAACTCTGTTAATGAACTTCTCGAATGCAATGCGTTCATATTTGGTGGCTTCTCGTGTGTCCGGTACTTCCATTCTTTCAACTGATATGCTCATTAGTTCATTCACATGATCAGGCAGAAGGCGACTTCTTTCAAAATATAAAATTCTATTCAATGATGAAAAAGAACGCTCAACTGTAGCTGTTGTGACTGGGAGTAGCAAAAGATGAATTCCTACTTCTTTCATCCCAGGAAACAGAGCACAAAGATCCGGTTGAGCCACTAGTGATGATAAAAAAGAAGTTGAAGTCAAATCTTCATTCATTCATGGTATGATATTCCACGCTGTGTTCAAATTCTCTATTCTGTCCTGAGCACAGGGCAGCCCCATTGCTGGAGTGCCTCACTCCACTCAACTGTTGGTATTTTATAGGACAGGGATCTGTAAAAGCTACAAAGAGGCTGAGTAGAATCTAGAAGTCGTTGTTGTAGATTTTTAAGACTCAAGTCTGCGCACTTTTTCAGTTGTCTTAACAAACACTTCTTGTCCTCTTCACTTAAGGATTCAATATAAATGCCTTCATTAGTCAACTTCTGGACTGAAGTCTTTGCTTCTTCCTGTACTTTTTCAATGGATAGCTCTTGGATTGATCCAAATGTAACTTCTATTGCTGGACAAAGATCTACTACTGTTGTAGCAGATGCCTGGATGGCATTGTTTAATGACCCAAGTGGTTTCAACAGTAGACTTACAAGAGAGAGAATGGCAATAGTCTTCTCTGAACGTAGTAGCAAAAGTAATCCACCAGCCCCACTACTTAGATCCATCCCATCTTGGTAGATACTTTCCAAAGCCAGTAATAATGGCTGGAGTAATTTTAAGACAGCAGCCAAGGATCGCTCATGAGAAAGCCAGCGGGTTTTCCCAGGTTGGACTAATTTGAACTTCAGTCCCAGTGTATCTTCTATATTTTCCAAGATATTCAGTCTTTTTGGACTCTTGCTGAAAAAATAATATAATGAAGATATTAAATTTATAGCTTTTAAAATGTCTTTCGGAGAGTCTGCGGCTCGTACTAGCGCTAGTTGGAGTAGATGGCCTCTGCAGGGTGTATAGGAGACACTAGGGTTACACTTTTCTTTCAGCAAAGCTTGTCCTCCACCATGTTTTCCAAAGAAGTTTGCAGCTTCATCAAATGCACAAGCAGTCATCTGTTTGGGGTCCCATTGACAAGCATTTAACTCTTCTAAGATGTCGGTTGTCACAGATGCAGCCAATCTGTCTTCTATAACTTGAACATCTAGAAATGCATCTACTGGCCTACCACTGACATCAAGATAATGTACACGATGACTTAATACTTGATGACCATTTGCATTGGTGCATTCATTAGCCATGTATGTAAATTTTTTGAATGGGGTGAGAGAGTTCTTCACTTTTTCAACTGTTGAGTCTTTCACTCTTGCACCTCATGTTTCTAACCAGTCAGTTGAGTTTCTTGCAGAAAGACAGTGAGCATTTGCTGGTCTTGTTTGGAAACAGTGTTCAACTTCAGGATGAACAAGTGACAGTGCACTTAACATTGGCCTCCAGTTTGTAGTGTGTGGTATCTCTTGCCTAAATAAAAAGTATGATGTTTGTTTGCATGAACTGTGTTGTGTCTCTAGGATTCTTAACAGCCTCATTAACACTCACCGGTGTTGTCCTTGGTCAGTGGAAACTCAGAGTTCAGAGGTGCTTTCACATGAGTTCATCTCCCAGGTGGGGGGCAAGAAGGCACCTTGCTCGTTCCTCCAGCTGCTCACTGTTCGCTCTGACCACTGTTGTTCATTGTGCCACTGTTCATTCCATCGCTCTGTTACCAATGGCCCTGCGCCATCACCTTCTGCTGCCACTATGACCTCTGCGAGTCCGTCTCTTGAGGGTCCATGCAGCTCTCAGTGATTTTAGCTGAGCTCTCAGTGGGGGAACCTCACTGCTAATGCAGGCTGGCCATCTCTTCCACAGAAACACTGTCCCACAGCAGGTCTAAGCACCTGATTATCAGTGATTTCAGCTTAGGGGTCACTTAATAAAACAAAGACTATCTATGGAGCCTAATCAGTTCTGTCTTTAAACAGTGGAGGGGTGCAGGTCTAATAGTACTTGTGACTCAGGCAGACCATCAAGCAAAACACCTGTCCCCACCCTCTCTTGATGCCCTCAATCAGCACAGGCTAAGTACAGTTCTACGGCCCTTTACTCATACAATGGAAATAACACTTCATTACATCTCCCACCTCGCATTCAAGTGATTTATAACCCAACCCTAGCCAAAATCTATCATTTGGGCAACAACAGCTCTGTTTGCTGGATACCTAGGTAGATGGGGTGTGAATGAAAATACAATCCGGTCCTGAAGCCTTTTCCCCCAGCTCATCACTAGCTGTCAGGGAGAGCTCATTTAGACTTTACTTAGAAATCATAATGTGAAATTATTAGGTTGGCCAACATCACCCAAATGAAGGCACTGACATGGTCATAAAAACAACAGCTGTATAAGGAAGCTAGTCTATGGTCATACTTTTCAAATCTATTATACTTTTTCAGGTACAAGTATTTTATCATATGCTGTATATGCTTTTAAAGTGTGTATTAATGTTTCAATTTCCATTCAAATTTCCAATCACTAAATTGCATGTAACTAGTTCACAAAACTGGGGGGGGGGTTGTTGGGGAAATTCGGGGGGGGTGTAGGGAAATCCCTGTCTGAGGAGCACCCCCGCTTGTGTTTGCAAGGTCAGCCTGCCCCCTCCAAGGGCTCTGTGTGACGCATAAAATCGAGGGGGTGGAGCGGTGACCGACTGCTACAGCTGGGCAAAGCCCTGAACCTCCGTCACGCTTCAGCCTACTCCAGGAGGGGGGCACGTTCCACTCTCTATCCTACCCGCGGCTGGGATGGGAACAGCGCTTTTATGCACCCCTATTTTGGGAGAATGGTACGTGCCACCCCACCTCAAAAAGATGGGCACCGCGCGACACGATGCCAAGGCGCACGCGTATGCCGCACTTCACTCGTCACTCTCGCCTGAGCCGCGCGCATGCGCGCTCCTCGAGTCTCCCCAAGAACTGGTCACGAGGCGGCTCAGGAGGACCATAGCGCGAAGTGCGCGCGCAGCCGCAGTGCGAACTGGAGTGGGTGAGGCCAGCCCATAGCTTGCGCAGCCGTAGTCAGATCTTGGACCGCACGCAGCCGCAGTGCGATAAGGAGGCGGGATCGAAATAGTGCGCGACCGCAGTCCGGTCTAGTGTCATGCGCGTGAGCCTCCGCGTCCGTCCATCGCGGGGACAGGTCCGTCCCGGTAGCTGCCGCTGAGGTCGCCCCGCGCCGCCAAGATGTACGACGCGGACGAGGGTGAGCGCGCCACAGCCATGCCCTGGCGGCGGGTCCCGTCACCTCAGCCGGGAGCTCGGCGCCGGAGGGCTGCCCCTGGGGGGCGGGCACGGGCCACAGGCCCCTGGGGTCCCGGGCCGGGCCGGGCCGGGCCGGGCCTGCAAACCCTTGCCGCGCAGCCGTGCGGCCGGGAGCGTGGTCGGGTCCCTGCGCTTCACCCCGGCGGGGCTGGGAGCGGAGCGGGGAGGGCCGCTGGAGGAGCCGCAGCTGTACCTCCAGGTCCCTTCTAAGTGTCCGTGCTTATCGCCAGGAGCAAGAGCACAGGCTGGGGGGCTCTGAGCGGGGACGCGGAGAGCCCGGAAAGGCTGGGGGATGTGGTGACTGGTCAGCTGACCCTGCCGGGCAGTGGCGAAGAGAGAGTGCGATCCTGAGACGCATAAACGGGGGGATTTGGAGCAGAGAGGTTATTTCACCTTTATATTTGGCACTTTTATATATGACTCCTGCTGGACTGTGTCCACCTCTGGTGCCCACAATTCAAGAAGGATGTTATTAAACTGGAGAGGGTTCAGAGAAGAGCCATGAGAATGTTTAAAAGATTGGAAAACAAGCCTAATAGTGATGGGGCCAAAGAGCTCAATCCGTTTAGCTGAACAAAGGGGTGATTATTGTAGTCTGTAAATACCTACATGGGGACAAATACTTGAAAATGTGTTCTTCAGTCTCGGAAATAGAAGTCTAACATGATGTAATGGCTGAAAGTTGAGGCTAGACAAATTCAGATTGGAAATAAAGGTTTTAACAGTAAAGGTAATTAATCCTTGGAACAGTTTACCAAGAGTTGTGGTGGATTCTTAATCCCTGGCAGTTTTTAACTCAAGATGGTTTATGCTCCTGGAATTATTTTGAGGGAAGTTCTATGACTAGATGAGGTCAGACTAGATGATTAGAATGATCCCTTCTGGCCTCGGAATCTGTGAATCTAGTGTAGACTCGACCTTAGGCATTTTAACAAGTGACCTGATTTTCAAAAGTGCTGAGCACACAGTGGCTCCCACTGGAATCAAAAGTAGCTGATGGGGAAACTGGTGCTTTGAAAAATGGAGCTAAGTATTGGGCTCCTGTTTTTTGAAAGTTTCAACCTTTGACCGTATGTTTATAGGGAATTTTAGTATTTTATGGTAATTAAAAAGTGTGAGGGCAAAGCTTAAAAACCTGCATGAGTGTCCAATGTTCTTGATGCTACAAGTGAAAAATGTGTTTTAGAGTAACAAAAACTTTGAAAGATGCTTAGATATTGGAATAACTTGTCTGTGGTTCCTAAATAAACAGGAAGCTGAAACATCTGTTAAGATACAATTGAAAGTTAATTGATCTTTACCAAAGGCATAAAGGGCCTCATCCAAAGCCTACTGATGTCAATAAAAATCTTTCTTTTGACTTTAATGAGCTTTGCATTGAATTCAAACTGATTTATTAGTTGCTACTCTAGGAAAGCACAAGTTTTGAGTGCTATCATGTGTATTTTGCTGAGTGGTGGTAAAGTGTTTAGGAACAGATGCTTAACCTTAGGAAACAAAGTAGACTGAATCCTATTGTTCCCATAAAAGTTCTTGTTTATAATAAGCCTTCATAGGTTGCCTACTTTTTCTCAAGGGCCAGTAAAGTAATAAAACTTTTCTGTGTTCCAGATACAAATAAATTACAATATTTTTATTACTGTAGTGTCTATGAGCCCCAGACATGGACCAGGACTCCACTGTGTTAAGCACTGAGCAAATACAGAATGAAAGATGGTCTCTGCCCCAAAGAGCTCACAGTCCAAGTATTGACACTAGGCTGTGTTCGTTCCTGTTATCCCTCTTTCAGGTTTTATTAAGCTCACTAGATTCCACTGCATGCATCCGATGAAGTGGGTTTTAGCCCACAAAAGCTTATGCCCAAATAAATTTGTTAGTTTCTAAGATGCCACAAGTACTCCTCATTTTTTTTTTTAGAAAAATAATGTATTTGTGTGCAGCCATTGGGTCTTTAGAAGCTATATACAGCCAAAGAAAACATGAATGAATAGAAAGACTGATTTAAGTGTTCTGCTTTCTTGGTAGATATGCAATATGATGAAGATGATGATGAAATCACTCCAGATTTATGGCAAGAAGCATGCTGGATAGTTATTAGGTAACTATCAAACTTTCTAAGAAATGTTAAGAATAGTGAAGTAATCAGGCAAGTGTACGCTTAGCTAAAACACCTAATACTAATAAATATTATATCCTAACTTATTGTGATGAAAATTCCAAGATTTCATGTCCAGAATCATAAATGCTTTCTCTTTAAGAATGAAAGAACGGTTACAAAGAGAGAACATAAGATTTGAGACCACTGGGCCTGTGTATAAATGGCCAAAGGTCGATGGTTTTGTAAGTCATTGCCTTCCTAGACAGTCTGAAAGCATTTTCCTAGCAAATTCAGCATTAACACAATATTTTCCATTATTGCTTGTGGGTGTAGAGGTACATTTATAAGATTACTGCTAAGAATAATGCTAACATAGTGAATTGGTAAGTTAAGGCCCTGATCCCACAGCTTCTTGCAAGTCAGTCAATAGGGAACAAAGTTGCAGGATCTGGGCATAAATATTTCTGTCTGTTTTTTGAAAGTTTCTTTGGAACAATTGTTTTCTTCTCACAGCACAATGTTGAAATACAAGCAGATATTTGTTTCATGTAGCAATAATATCCTTTGATTAATTACAGTATGTTTATCTTGAATTTTTAAACATTACCTGATAATTAACATAGTTTATGGATATGTAAACTGAGAATTTTTGTTGATTAATTGAATATGCCTTATTTTTTCTAAGCTCCTATTTTGATGAGAAGGGGTTGGTCCGACAACAGCTGGATTCTTTTGATGAGTTCATTCAGATGTCTGTGCAGAGAATTGTAGAAGATGCACCACCTATCGATCTACAAGCTGAAGCTCAGCATGCCACAGGGGAAGTTGAAGAACCGGTAAGAGGGACATTTGCAGAGTTTGATTCTTTTAATCATACAGATGTGAAAATTGTGCTGGGAGTTCTTATTGCAGGTGAACAGCTGAAGGCTGCAGCAGCAGATCCAGTCAATTAGCGCATGATATAGCTAAAAAGAAATGCTACTAATGGGGAAACGAATGGGTCATTAAAGCAGTTGAAACGCCAAACATTTTTGGCAAAAATGGTATGTCCATAATGAACTTTATCAAGGGTGAGAAATATCAATTTTTTTAGTCTTTGTTCGTTTCATGTTAGATTTTCAAAAATTTTCAGCACCCACAGCTGGGGCCAGATATTCAAAGGGCTCAGCTTCTATTGTTCTCATTTGGCACATGTTATCAAATTGTATTCCTTAACTCCAGAAGCATGATGTGCTACATGTAATCAGAATGCCATTCTCAAACTTCTGGAACTTAATTTCAAAACATTGCTTTCAATCTAGGCCAAGTGAATGTTACACTTCTGGACCCTGTTCATATCAAGTTTAAAGAAAAGCTGGCTGGAGAAAAATGAAGATCTTGATACAAGTTTTAGTAACCAAAAGATAACTTATCCTCACACAGAGTAACAACTGCAGAGAAATAACTAAATAGATTTCTAGTTAGATTGTAAGCCCATTGGGGTGGGGCGACCCTCCTTTAGTTCTGTGTTTGTACAGTACCTAGTACAATGCGGTCCTGCTCCATGACTGGGGTTCCTAGGTGCTGTGGTAGTACAAATACTAAAACTAAAGCAAATCTTCTGAGCCAAGTATGAAATATTTCATCATAAGGTGCAACTTGCTGAAAAAAATGTAAGCTATCCATAATAGGGATTGGAATGAAAGTGCCCTTTCAGTCATAAATAAAATTGTTAATGTTAGGCTATAGTAAACCAATGCAAACAATAAGTATATTAAAAGAGAATTACTTGAATTCCACTGTTGACTATATTACATTTAACAGATTTAGAAACTGTCAGAAGTCATTCATGAAACAGACAATCACAGTGGGAAAACTTGAACAGCTTATGATCTGAAATACAGCTCTTGAAGCAGCTATAATTAGATTTTCTTCTTTTTATACTATCCATCTCCATTACCAGATCAGTTCAGTGTGCATCTATATCTGATGGTGCCCTGGCCAGCTGAGTAAGGAAACTGATACTTGGGACATAAGAAGTGGCCAAAAGGAGAATGTGCACCTTGTTGAAGTCCAGGTTTTTTTCTCTCTCCATTTTTCCCCTGTTCTCTTGCCGGGAGGTCTTTTTATGCCTTACTGCTGGATGGATGGATAGAATTGCTCCCACCAGAGTTTATGCAATGTGGGGATCACCAGATAATCCAGAAAAAGATGCTGCTGCACTGACACAAGGCTTTTGTCTGCAATTTTGTGTCCTCTTCACATAAGTCCTAGTCTTCTTTTCCACCACCTGCAAGAAGTCATGGGGAGTCAAATTCTCATCTACCGCTTGGTAGTGTGTAGTGCTTTGAGATGCTACAATTATATGCACAATAATTAAATATATGTAAATAAAATAGTCCCGGCTTTGTGCCGTGGTGCAATTCCAGGACTACTTTTTTTTGTGCTTCTGATTTTAGACTTTTTTGGGAGTAACAAAGCAGTGTAAATATTTAATGTCTCTTACAGGATATATTTTAAAATAAAGAAATACTGTGATTTCAAGTTTGAAGTTCTTGTATCTTAGTAGATTTTTAATACCATTATAAATTCATATTTACATATTTT